GAGAGAGAGAGAGAGAGAGAGAGAGAGAGAGGAGCAGCTTAATTACTTTAAAATAAATGCATTTCCCCAGAGCTGTAAGTCTCTTGATCTTGGTACGAAAACGAAACGCTAATGCTTTTTAGTTTTAGTTAGAGTTTTATGGCACTTGCAACATAATAAGGTCATATAAGCGCCGAAGAATAGATGTGTTACAAGAGAGTAACATACACACCAAAAAGAAGGAGGAGAGATAAAGACGATAGATGTTTGATAGGAAAGAAGGAGCAAACCACACCAGAGCACACACCAACCACCCACACTCTTTACTAATGCTGTGACAGAGTGAAATAATGTTAATGTTGTCACGGGGTAACGTAATATTAATGTTGTCACGGGGTAACGTAATGTTAATGTTGTCACAGGGTAACGTAATGTTAATGTTGTCACAGGGTAACGTAATGTTAATGTTGTCACAGGGTAACGTGATGTTAATGTTGTCACAGGGTAACGTAATGTTAATGGCGTAACATAATGTTAATGTCTAATGTTGCCGCAGGCTGCAATTACAATAACGGACAGACAGAGAAGGGAGAGAACATTATACATGTATGCGTAGCCCCCGTCTTTGATCATTCACGGCATCCTGAATATATTCACGAAACACACTTCATGAAGTCAGTTTTGTTTACGGCGGGGGTTTTTTTTCATACAGCCCGCTGCAGAAGCTCACTTAAAATCCCCATCTTTTCTTTCTTTCTCTTCCATGCTTGAGCTCAGGGTATACTGGTATCCAAAAATGATTTTTTTTTTTTTAAAAGCTCGCTTCCCATCTTTTCTTTCTCTTCCACGTTTGAGTTCAGGGTATCCAACAAGGTCTTTTTGGTTTGGTTTTGTAATTTAAATCTACAATGTTTTCTTCAGTTGTTCCCAGCGACAGTTGACAGGGATCCCAAGATCTTCAGCGCACAGTGAAGTGTGAAGTATAAAGTGTGAAGTGTGAAGTATAAAGTGTGAAGTGTGAAGTATAAAGTGTGAAGAGAAAACTGATGTTTTCCCAAAGAAGTGTCCGG